TATATATATATATATAACTAAATACACAAAATTGTAAAAATAACATTGGTAGGTGTGCGAAGAGGGTGTGTCCGAGTGGAGGAGGCACCTTGCACCAGCATGGCTATGTCATCACCTGGGGCCTCGTGCCATCCTCTGTGAGGTCGTACCTGAGGAAGCACAGAGAGCACGGCAGAGGGGTCAGGCTCACAGCGCGGTGTTGGACACACACCCAGAACCTGGTCCTGCCACCCCTTGGAGTATGGACACTCACCACTGGGTCCAGCCCTTCGCAAGCTCTTCAGATGCCAGAGCCACCAGCACCTGGGGAGAGACGGGGGCTTACTGAAATGGACTGACCAGCTCCTTACATCTACTGCCTGTCTAATCATCTCCTGTCTTAACCTAGTAATATGGAACTCTCCCCACTTTTATTGAGACTCATGTTTTATTCTTTTCTACCTTTATGATTCATCTGTAGTAGACCATGCTTGACTATAACCAAGAGATCCTGCCTGTCTCCAGCAGCTGTAATAAGTTATCACGAAACATCAGTGGAGACAGTCCCTGGATACTGCTCGACGCCGTCAAGGGCAGCACTGCTGCGATGGTTTGTTCTTGGCGCTGCAGCCAACAAACACAGGTCTACAGCGCAGCACCCTTCCCTGGCCTGACACTCACGTGCATGCCTGAGGAAGACATAATCTTGTTCAAAGTTAACGCTGAACGCAGACAGAAACAAGCTGAGGACACGCTGGAGAGCGCAGCATGACCAGTGGGGGAAGTGCGATGGGCGAGACGCTCTCCCTTTCTGTTTTCTACAGTGTGGTACTGAATGAAAGTGTTAAAGCTTGAAAATCAACCTTTCTTCAACTAAAAGTTCCTGCCATCAGTATGTTAATAAGCCAGTAATATGAATACATAAAATCAATGAGAACTTAACGTGTCTTCAGAATGCACAAGTCTTAGCACGCTGTTTTGCAAATGAGCACTAGCTGCAGGGTAAGCTCACCCTTTCTGCTCATGTAAGTAGCAGAAGGGTTTCCGTGGTGCAAAATGCAGTAACACATGATGATTCTTTATCCTTACTTTGCCAAGCAGCCCTTTGTCTTTGGACAGGAAGCCACCACTATTCTTCACCGCTACATCCAGCGTCCTCCTCTGTACCTCAGGGAGTGACACGTTGAAATCAAAGCTGCAAGGGACAAAGGAACTTTCTCTGTAATTCTGCTAAATTGTATCTTCTTTTAACTAAAAATGGCATTTCTGCCCATGAGATCATTTCAAAGATTAGGTGGGTTTTTTCCCCTGTAAAGTCAGGTTCTCTCTTTACGGTATGTGCAGTGGTATGTCTGCTTTTTAACCTAAAGGTACTGGTGTGAAAACACAAAAAGTGAGTAGCACCTTTATAGACAAAACAGAGCTGAACCAACAAACAGTGATTTACTATTTGCAAAATGCTGCCAAAGGGGACAACATATGGACAGACCATGGCCTGAGGATGCCTGAACCATCAAGCTGGCCACACAGGCAGTGTCAGCCTCTATTACGCTGGAATGCTCAAGAGAGTTGCAAAATATAATATAGTTTTTCACAAAAGTTGTATTGATATTATGAGTGTGTATTTGAGATATTGTTACTGTGAAATAGATCGCCATCCACAGCATTTGTCATTTGGATTTATTATGTTCAGCATCCCACAAGAAGTTAAAATGGTTAGTTATTTTAACAAGTGTACATGTACTACACTGCGCTGTAGGCTCTGCCACTTATTCTCAGCAGAGCAGTGGTGGTCACTTCACGCAGACAGTCTCTCCTACGCCGAGGGAGTATCTATTATACCTCTGATCGAACACTGGGTTTAGTGTCTTCTTTGACACGTGGGTTTTCCTCCTTCCTGATCTCCTCTTGTCTGGCAATAAATACATGCGGACATACGGGTCGGAGCCCTCTTCTGAGAAAGCGATGAGATTTCTTGCGACATAGAAAAGACTAGGTATCAGAATTTAGGAAATAAGAGCACTGTCACATTCAAATTCGCTGTATCAAACTTTAATTTCATGTATGTCTACACACCAAGAAGCAACAAGACAGCTGGGGTGTAGCTCAGTGGCTGAGCTTTTGCCTGTCATACACAAGGCCCTGGGTTCCATCCCCAGCATCTGTGTGTTTGAGTGTGTGTGTGTGTGTGGGGGGGACAAGGGACAGTGAGGATTAACTGATACCAAATTCCATGAGACCTTCCTCAATCTGCCTGTTGGCCTCTCTTTCAACTTCTTTCTTAAGAGACCACCTGACTCCATTTCCAAAGTCCAGAGTCTGGGGGACATTCTAGGTTGTCATTCTTTTAACATGTCTTTTCATCGTATTTCTACTGGTTAATCCCAGTGGAGAAACAAGAGTCAGGCTCTGGCCAAGCAAACCAGCCTCTAGGTGCCCTGTGTGGCATCCTGGTTTCCTCCGATGCCTGCCTGGCTATTTACCTTCACTCATCCAGCCCTTGCACAAGACCTACCTCCTTTAGCCAGGTGTGGTGGCACACGCCTGTAATCCCAGCACTCAGGAGGCTGAGGCAGGAGGATTGTTTCAAGTTTGAGGCCAGCCTGGGCTACAAAGTGAGTTCAAGACCAGCTTGAACTGCTTAGTGAGACCCTGTCTCAAAAAAGAAAAAAAAAAAAAAGACCTACCTCCTCCATTGATCCTGCCCTGTTCTTCGCCTAGGACAACAGAAATAGGCCAGACACAGTCCACCACTCATTTCTATGACCACTCTGGGATCTGCACTGATTGGTGACCAGCAGGTCTGGTAAGCAGGTGTTGCCGGGCACTCTGCAAGGCCTCTCAGAGAAATAATCTCAATGGCAAGAACATAAAAGGAGTGCCAGCCATGATCACTGAATTGCACTCTATGTTCACTAATTTTATTTTCATGTTTTTTTACAGGATTTTATTTTATTTTAATTTCTTTTAAGACAAGGTCTTGCTGTGTAGTTCAGGCTGGGTTTGAACTTACTACGTAGCCCAAGCTGACCTTGAACTTGTGATCTTCCTGCCTCAGCCTCCCGAATGCTGGGGATTACAGGTGTGTGCCACCACACCTGGCTCCTACAGTTTTTTTAAAGGTCTAAATATTTATATCATATTTTAAACGATTGCTAAAACAGAGAAGGAAAACAGCCCACACCATCATCGTTAATCAAATACAAAGCAACACTGTCATCCCATTTAAGACTTACTAAATTGGCATAGCAGACTAGTTAAATTAAATTTCTTGTGATTGTTGGGGTAAAAAGTATACTCAACACTCTTGGAGTATCCATGTCAAGTGGTATGTTCTTTTTTGAAAGACTAGTATAATACCTATAGTAAACCAAAACTTTTTGGATCTTTTGATCCAAATTTTCCCACTTCTGGAAATTAAATTAAAAAAATACTTAAAAAAAAAGTTCACCACCATATTACATTAATACAGATAATCTAAATATCCAACAATAAGATGTAGTAAATACTTTGTTAAATTACATGTACCGATTCAAGGGAGTATTATAAAGCCACTAACATGATTAAGAATGCAATACAAATATTTATGAAGTAATGTTAAGAACAAAAAAGCAGTAAGTTATTTATTAAAATTTTAGTAGTGGAAAATACAGGATTTTACAGGGTTGTAGAGAAAGATCAGAATCTAGAATCTAATGTAAGACATGAATAATGTGTGCACATGCATGTGTTTTTGTGGGTACAGATAGGGAGGGACATGTGTTTATGAGGGCCGTGGAATGACTGGTGATTTTCTCAGAACTGTCTTTAATGTTGCTGTCTTTAAAAAAAAAAATCATTTGAATAGTTCACATTAGGCTTTCCAGCTTCACCGCAGAGTGGGGAAATCTTTATTTTCTTTAACACCTTGAGATCATTTTACATACATTTCTGTATATTAAAAACAACATTGTAAATGCATTATTAATACTGAGCATGGTAGCACATGCCTATAACCCTAGTACTTGATGCTAGGATTATTTTCATGTTTTTTACAGGATTTTATTTTAATTTTTTTTAAGACAGGGTCTTGCTGTGTAGTTCAGGCTGCGTTTGAACTTACTATGTAGCCCAGGCTGACCTTGAACTTGTGATCTTCCTGCCTCAGCCCGGGGATTTAGCTGGGGATGGGGATTTAGCTTTCAATGGGGGCTGGGGATTTAGCTCAGTGGCACAAGAGCCTGCCTGGCAAGCGCAAGGTCCTGAATTCGATTCCCCGGTACTGCAAAAATAAATAAATAAATAAATAAATAATAAATAAAAATTAAAAAAAAAAAAAAAAATCCTAGCACTTGGGAGGCTGAGCCAGGAGGACTCCTGTGAGTTTAAGGCCAGCCTAGGCTACATAGTGAGTTTAAGGCTACCCTGGACTACTAGTGAGACCATTTCAAAGAAAAAAAAAATATTGGGGCTGGGGATTTAGCTCAGCGGCAAAAGCGCCTGCCTGGCAAGTGCAAGGTCGTGAGTTCGGTTCCCGGCACTGGAGAAAAACCAAACAACCAAAAAAAAAAAAAAGTATTATTAATATAAGCAAAACTGCTCATCAGTTTGCTATTTCTTTTAAGAGAGGACATAGTATTTTAATGTAAGTTAGTAAGACAGAGATTCTTCCCCCACCCTCTAACTGCCACTAATTCCCCCAACACAAAAGGGGAAACATGTCGCACATATGACATATACTGATTTTATCTGTTTGCTCTATACTATAGCTGAAGAGAGAGCTGGTATTAGGGAAAGGACCAGAACATGGGCTTTCAGTACCATCGGAAGATCTAGTTGCTCTGCTCTTTAAAGAAAAGCCATGCGTATCCTGCCTGGGTCCAGCGGTGGCACTTACAGTCCTATGTGCTGTGTCAAGGTATCGGGGGCACCTGCTTACCTGCAGGAGTGCACCACCACGATGAGCTTGTTTCTCTGGGAGCTATGCCGGATGGTGAGCTGGATCTGCCCCAGGGGAGACTGCCCCAGCATCGTGCCACTGTGGGAAGCAGAGCACAAGGTCACCAGGTATGTTCGGTACACAATACACACAGCAAGATTACACACATCCATCTAGACAGAAAGGAATGAGGGTACCCACGAACTTAAACACATTTTGAAACTCTGGTATAAGTTGAACTGAAGTTGTATTTCACTCAAGGGTTCAATACAACTTAATTATTCAAAACTGAGAGTTCTCTAGTGAGAACCCAAAGTAAAAGGAGACACAGAGATCGCCCTGGACATTGGCTCCATAGCCTTAGCTCAGCAGTGTCCACCTTGGCCATCAACAACCCAACCCCCGTGGGTGAGCCCAATGTACTCTTCTTCCACCTGCTGCTTGGGGAGCAGGCTCTGGGACAGCGACTGTACTCAGCGACCCCCAAGGTAGTTCAGCTACTCCCCAAATTGTGCTCCAGAGAACAGGTAGTTTCTCATTTAAAACCGTTTCCCTTAGAAAGAGGAAATTAAATTCTTTTTCCAAAACTTGAACATGAAAAAGAATGAAAGAAAGTGTACAGACTAAGACAGGGCCTCACAGACACAAGAATGGCCATGCGGCCCCTGGTGCTTCCCTAACTCCCAGGCACAGACGTGTTTTCACCTTTGCCTCCAGTTCCTCTCCTATTTCCTCACCACTCGACACACCTCCTCCAAAGACAAGCAGGACGAACAGTTTCAGAGGTCACTTCAGTTCTACCTACAGGAAGTGCTGGCATCTGAAGCTTGTGGTAAGTAGACTCCCTTAGCGAAGAAACCATAAGCACATCCATGGATCATGGAACTTAATTAAGAAACCAACACCAACAGCCAAAGACAAACAAACAGGGACTGGTCAGAGGTACTGGGACACTGATCCCACATGGAAGAACAGGGCCAATTCTTACACTACAAAGAAGAGCCAAGCGCTCTGCCAGACTTCCCTGTCCTGCACCAGGAGTTGACAGTCACCCGTTAAGCCTGTCTTCCTGGCCAGAGGGGAGCTGCTCAGCAGCTTCACAGCTCTAAGGCTCTTGCCATTTTCATCTGTGATACCTCTTACTCCACTGTTTCCTAATCTTTTAATGAGGATGTCCTAGAAAATGACCAGGTTTTTAAAAAAATTTAACTGTTTTTAACAGTGGCAGTTTATGCAGGAAAGTAAAAGTGAAGACTGGGAGAGAAACTGGCTCTGCAGAGGAGGCTTGGGCTGTGTAAAGAGAAAAGTGGGATAAAAGCAAAAATGAAAGTACATGCTGCATCTGGGAAAAACACCGTAGGCTATCATGGAAAGTCATGGTAGCCCTTCTTTTTGTTTTTTGAGACAGAATCTCACTATGTAGTTCAGATTGGCCTTGAACTCACCGTATAACCTAGGCTGGCCTTGAACTCACAGTGACCCTCCTGCATCAGCTTCCTAAGTACTGAGGTTACAGTGTGCACACCATGCCCAGTGACAGGTTTGATTTTGAAAGTGAAAGACTCAGCAAAATAGCAACGCAATCTGAAGTTTTTCTACTTAACTCAAAATGGTATCTTCTTCCTCTTAGAGATCAGAGAGGAACTCTGGACCTGTTAACAACAACCTCCAAGGGATGGGGTTAACAACATCTGTGTATGTAGGATGAGAACTGTGGAGGTATTCAAAACAGCCCTGTGGCACGGGGGACCTGAGCTCCGGGTTAATGACAACCCTGGGTTATGTCATGAACTCTGTGTTACAAGCCCCTGTGGCGTATCCTGAGCTCTGTGCTAGCAACAGTCTCTGTGGTACGTGGGAGGTGACCTCTGTTGATGTTCACAACAACCCCTGAAATATGTGGGTCACTTCTCTGACTGTGACAAACGAAACAGTAGGCAGGTAGTTACTTTTCGAGCTGTCGTAGCCTTTGACGCAGCTCCTGGGTGGCAATAGGCAGAGATATATCTGAGGCAATGCTAGGAGTGGGCTCTTTGATGGAGGCATGGCTTGGTGAGGCCAGGAGGCTGGAGGTGCTTCTGCCCAGGTCGTGCTGGGCTGGAGGGCTGGCCTCAGGCGGCTGGGCCTTCTCCTCTGTCCCGGGCTTATCTGCGGCTCCAGTGACGGGTGTGGAGGGAGCTGTGCTGCTGCCACTGGTGGCTGGAGACGCGGACGCCTGAGACCTGACAAGCCCTTTCCTCCCATCTTTGGAAACGGAGGGTCGTTTCACTTGAGCTGAATGTTGGTGGTCCGGAGGCCTTTCCTGCTTTTCAAGATGGAGTACCTAGAGGTGGAAATAAACAAGCACTGAAATCAGGGACACTGGCAGTATCCTGATACTTGAGTGGCTCTAGAGCATTCATTTACAAGTATTTCTTTAAAACTTGGCTCAAAACATTAAAAAAAAATGCAATCTTACCTATTCAGCTATCAATTATTAAAATAATGCCATGCTACAAAGAGTTCAGAAAAAGTTTAAGTCCTTTTAAAGGACTCAGCGCCTCCCCAGTACGAGCACTATCTCGTGTGTCACTCTATTCCCCTCCACTTACATTCCTACTCAGCTGTGAGACAGTGTTCTCCCTGTACAAGCCTGCTGAGTCACAAGTGCTCACAGAAGCCGAAATCCCTTCTTCCATACAAGGGATTGTACTAGGGACCCCCAGAGAAAGGAAGAGTGTCCAGAAGCCCTGCTCTTCAGCAGGGTCCCCCTGTCAGGACAGTGCTGCCGGAGCCATGACCCTGAGCAGAGGGCCTTCCCTGCTTTATGACATCTTTCCACTCTGCAGCCTCCCCACATTTTGCTTTATAAGCACAACTCAGACATTAGGAAACAGCACCTTAGTCCAAAGGCAGCAGGGTCTGTGGCCTGGGGATACTGCAGTCCCTTCTAAAAGTCTGTGCCAATACACAGTCCTGGCAAGGCGCAAGCAGACCATTTCCACTGCGCCCTCAGCAGACTGAGTCCCTCTGGGTTCCACCCTTTGCAGGAGTTTATTACGTTCCCTCCCACTGAGCAACCTTGCTTCTGTGTGATCTCCGTCCTCACACCACTGCCCATACCTAGGCACCATCCACCACACAGACTGGGCTGGAACAGCACTCCAGCCGCCCCTTCTCCTCCCACCTGACCAGTTCACTGAGATGGGCAGGGCCACACAATACCCTGAGGGCGATCTTCATCTTCAAGGTGCTGTTGGGCCCTGAGCTGCTGAGTTGAAAGCGCTGGTTCACAGTCATGTCCTCACTTGCTAGTAGCTGACTGAGGGGGATCCTCAGGGTCCCCAGACTGCACTGGTGCTGCTCATCTTTGACCTGCAGGAATTCAGGTGGAAGACATACTTAGCCCAGAGGTAAAAGTACAGATACTACAGAAAATATAGGAAAGTACAAAAATTCTCTCTTAAGAAATATTTTAAAAGAATGTGAAGATATTCTAGCCATATTCCTCATCCCTAACTGGGGACTAAACCCAGGGAACACTAAACTACATTGAAAAAAATTTAAGATAGGGCCTTGCTAAGCTGCCTGAGCTGGCCTTGAATTCACCACCTTCCTGCCTCAGCCTCCAGACTAGCTGGCATTACAGGCATGTGCCACCATGCCTGGCTCCAGCCACAGTTTACTGTTTCCATAAATGACCAACTATCAGGAAACTTCCTCAGCAAGATAAAACACTGTCACGAGCAAAGTGTCTCTGACACATGTGCCTTCATTTGCGCATGACAAAACCATAATGAACACATGAAGAACACTGTTCTATGCATGTTATAAGAAACCTAGGCTAGAAGGTAACAGTCTACACAGACCTGAAAGTAGAAGGAAATGTCCATGAAAATGGTGCTAGGACGCATAGTGGTGTGTGAAGCTTCCACTGCTGACACTTATTTATGGACAAAATGCATGTGTAAGTATGTTTTAAGCCTTCCCTATTCAAAGTCTACATGGTTGCTTCAAACATTTATAATATCTGCTTTAAATGCATGGTAATTCCTTTATCATGAGTAACAATAACCTTCAGCAGTGGCTCTGTAAAACAAAGTATACTCATGTTGCTGTACAAAAGTGTGATCAAATAATGTAAGAACGCTGGAGCTTCCACAGCCTACATGAAAATGGTCAGAGAAGTAACACATATCTCCACGGGAAAATCTAAAATCCTGACTTATTTCTTTTAAACAATAATCAGCTGGGCATGGTGGTACATGCCTGCAATCCCAGCACTCAGGAGGCTGAAGCAGGAGGATTGCCAAGATTTTGAGGCCAGCCTGGGCTACACAGTGAATCAAAAGGCAGCCTGGAATACACATTAAGACTCTCTCAAAAACAAAACAGAGGAGGGCTTCCGG